TCACACATTGTGCCCATGTCGAGAATCGAACCCGGGTCTTCAGCGTGACGAACGAATGCTTTAACCACTAGGCTACCTGACCGCCCCCTAGTTGATGTATTAATGCTAAAAAGGATGAGGCATTTAGTATTTTTAAGTAGATTCAAATTCAAATTGATGATAATAACACTTATAACTGCAGCTGTTCACATTCTGTAAGAAGGATTGGATATAAAATAGTAGGTTGTTGATACTAGTAGTGATGACAATGACCCTACAATAATTACACTCACTCAATCTCACGGAAGTATCGTAAGTCTCCATGGTCCCCAGTATGGTGGCCTAACTTTGGTTGCTGGTGATCTATAACCCATATTTAATCAATGTTTATGGTTAAATACTAGTTTTAAGTCTATATCTGTAATTATCTAGGTCTTTTACTGTCCTTTGCCAACAGATTTTATGGTATAAATTTATGTATTAATAATGTGTAACTAGATTTAGTCACGATATGGCTATAATATTGATTATGTGATTAATTTTCACTCTCACTCACTCACTCACTCACTCACTCACTCACTCCTTAACTCACTCACTCACTCACTCACTCCTTAGTTCACAGTCCTACACATACCATCACCACTGGACATCAAATCTAACACCACATGTAGTCAGGGGTTGAGGAAATACTCAAAAGCTGAACTGTTCTGGACCTTGGTATCATTATCAGCTCACCTATTGTACCAGTGATGATTTCACGTTCATAACATACGTGCATAATGTCATAATACTTTTAATAGGGGGACGGTGGAGTAGCCGAGTGGTTAAAGTGTTCACTTATTTCACCAAGGACCAGGATCGATTCCCGACTTGGGTACAATGTGTGAAGCCCATTTCTGTGTCCCCTGCGGTGATATTGCTGGAATATTGTTAAAAGCTGCGCAGAACCATACTCACTTACTTACTTTGTATAAGGTTGAAACGTCTTTGCACCTAAATTGTATTTCGTCTGTACAAAAAGGCCTGTGGCCTACAAGTACTGAATAAAGTGAAGTGAAGTGAAACGTCTTTATAATTCAGGGACCGCCTCCATGGTCTAGTGGTAGAGCATCCGCCCAGAGAGAGGAAGGTCCGCGGTTCGATCCCCGGCCGCGTCATACCAAAAGACGTTAAAAAATGGTACTTGTTGTTACCCTGTCTGGCGCTCGGCATTAAGGGGCTCAAACAAGGACTGGTCGGCTCGGAGTCAGTATACTGTGTCTGAGTGGGGTATTCATGTTAAACTGCAGCATTGTATCTCAGTGAGCTAGCACTATAAATCGGCATCAGTCCGGACTGGTGCAAGCAGCCACACAAACACACATACGTACATGCACGTCGCTATATAAGTGCAATAATCTTGGACGCGACGTTAAACCCCATTTCACCTCACCTCACCTTATAGTTCAGGTGAGCTACAGAGTCTTGTGGCTCTATACAAGTGTTTGGCTCTTCCTACCATGAATAAAGTATAGAACCCGATACTTCAGAGGTTTAAGATCAACAGAGAAGTGGTAGTGTTGGTTAACCGTCTATATTTAGTGTTGAGCTATCACAACTTGGTCTTTCCGGCGCAATCTCTTCATTAATCCGTCATGAACCTCAGACCACATACATGCATTACTTCATTACTCCTGTATCTATACAGCCTAGTCCTTTAAGCGAGATCAATATTTCCCTTTGGTTTAAATACATATTTACCCTTCTAATTATTTAATCATTAGCTCGAGCAAATTTGAAAAAAACCCAGTGTACTATGAAATAATATATGTCGTAGCTATATTTTGACTGTGAATGTTGTTCAGCTAACAGACACCACATGATGTCCATATTGCAGTCAGCAATATACCGCACATATCATGGCAGCCTATAAATAATCAATCTGGTGTTAGGGGAGGGTCACCAAAACATATGACACACTTGAGGGGAGGGTTATAGAACATAATACAGAAAAATCATGAAAGCATGGACATTTCATAATGTCTCCCCTCAAATAAATGTCCAGTCTGTAAGTATTACAAGCATATGTTACTGGAGACAAGCTCCAGCCCATGTCTGAACAGGGTCAATATATTCTACCCCTCTTTTGATAGGGATGTTTTTAATCTTTCTTTAATATGTCAAGTGTATATTTTATCAGAATGACATATCTGCTTATCCAATCAAAGTTGAGTAGCATTTATGACCTTTTTCCTTGATTTAATTCAGAATTTGGTAAAGAGGAATCGGATCAAGTTTTATACACCACTTACTTCCTGTTTATAAGGATTGTATATACTCCAACAGAATATACCAGCTATTTCATGGCAGCCTGTGAATATAGTGGTTGATATTACGTGGGGGTGGTTGATATTACGTGGGGGTAGGATGCAATCAACCAATCACCAAGCCAGTTGTCACCAGGACTGGCATTTTAGCATAAGATAAAGCAGTTCAATTGTATCAAGAAGTGTCATGTTCCCAGTATGCTGTTACTGCTATATCCCTACACAGACTGCTTTTGTTTCTTATGCCAGTCATAAATATAAGTACAAATTGTCCCACTATTATTCAGCAAGTCCTTGTTTGGCAAGAAAACACTGAAAGAATTGTGTATATTACCACACTTCCATGTATATCTTGTGTACACCCAAGCATAATGTGCACCTCCCATTCATGGGTAAATTTTGGGGAATTATGCTATTCCATATACAATGTACATGTATAGTGCGCAGTCAAAGACTGCATTGTATAACTTCAGGTTAACGAACAGGAAATAACCAACTTAGTCAATGAAAATGTGAAATTAGCAATAAAACACTAGACATGCTAATTTACAGTTTCAATTGTATTTATTGTATGCAAGACATTGTTTTATGTGCAGAGATTAAGATTGGTAAAATATATCTGTAAATAATCACACACATAGTCTCAAGGATTTAGCGGTGAGTGAAATACTCAATATAAGATTGAAAATAACTTGAATGCAATGGTGGGAAGAACAGTTGATTTCAATACATCTATATTTACTGGGTATCTACATTTCACACAGCCCTGTGAAGATCCGGGTTAATGCATGTCATATCCCAATAGTGTAAATTGATGCTTATTTTGTCAATCACTGGATTGTCTGGAGCAGGCTCGATTATTTACAGATCGCCGCCATATAGCTGGAATATTACTGAGTGCGTCGTTAGACAACAAACAAACAAAAACAACATGTCACTCTGTGCTAGGACCAAGGTGGTGCTGTGTGGCCTAGGTAACCGTTTTGGATGTTCCCCACTTTCTATAGATAGGTATACAGAACAAATCTCCATAGTCTCAAAATTAATTATCAATGTGGTTGATATGGCAACACAGAGGGAGTACAACCTCGAAAGAAATGCTAGATAATCAGCTTCATACTCCCTAAACAAGCTATAATTGAACAGCAGGGTTGTTAAGTTTCATGTCCTAGGTATAACATCAGCAAAGAGGTAAGAAATACACTGCAGCTGCTGTTGGAGAAAGTTGAGTCCAAAGTTTACTTGTTTGTCACAGAGACAAATGAACAATTGTGGTTAATTTTTTTGGGTTATTCCAGTACCCATGCTATCAACATGATAAGTATTATGATAACATATTGCGATGATAATTTATCGATAACATTAAAAATGTAAATTTATAGGAACTGTCTGCCTTTCCATCCACCTGGCGGTTTCCATGGCGATTTTATAATGGATATGGTCAGTAGGACTGCATGGTATTACCCCTCACAACTGTGTTATCGTTCCCAGCATCTAGGGAAAACTTGATGTATAGTGCGAGTTTATTCTTTAAACATGAAGGGTGAAGAAGACATCCCATACCTGTATGTCAATGGCAATATATTGCAATACTTATCACAATACAGACCTAAGTATCGCAGTATATTGCAATACAAAATGCCTGGCAAAACACCCCCTAAATTGTTTAGAATGTTGTGTTAATTGTTGCAACCGGCAGTCCCATCTTTTTTTTTCAAGTCAATTAAACTGCCTTTTTTTCTCTCATGTTTAATATGTCAATCTAGCAGTTAAAGACTTTGCAACTATGCAGAGACAATGGAACAAATTTCAAGAAAGCGTACCCAAAGCTTTCTATTTCAAGGAGAAAAATCCAAATACAAACTTGATGATGCACCTTTATCATGTGAATATATGGGCCCACAGTGTTACACAAAGTCCAACATATCTGTTATTGTAACAAAGAACTCTGACTGTTACGGACAATATACACCATCTTTTCATTACTCCACTCCTCATGGGTTAAACGCCTGTTGTGACAAGCATGAGATATTGTGTACCCATTCTTCTCCAGAATCCCACTCTGGATGATTAATCATGGATAAACCTGAAACATCTGAAGAATAATGCCTTAAAAGTCATATCCAAGTTCCCCCCAATAAATGTTTGCTGAATATCATGAAAAAATGTGTTGAAGAATGAAATTGTTTGTATCCCATTCCACAGAAAAAAATGTGTTGCGAGAAAGAACTAAATTGTTCATCGTATCCATTCACAAACGAATATGTGTGTGTTGAAGTTTAAACTGAAAACATATTGTATCTCTAGCTAATATCCCCCTGTCCCTCCCCCTGAGTATTACATGTTTGTTTGTTTGTTGTTTAATGCCGCACTCAGCAATATTCAAGCTATATGACGCGGTCTGTAAATAATTGAGTCTGGATCAGACAATACAGTAATTGTCATCATGAGCATCGATCCACGGAAATGGGATACGATGACATGTATCAACCAAGTCAGCGAGCCTGATCACCCATGTAATTTGTGAGTGAGTGAGCATGTTTTACGTTACTTTTAGCAATATTCCAGCAATATCATGGTGGGGGGACACCAGAAATTCACACATTGTACCCATGGCCAGACTACCCCACCACCCCTGGTCTGTGATATACGGTTCCATATATGACATACTGTTTGCATCCTGTGAAATTAATCTGTTTAATTTGACTGTTTCAGAATACAGGATATTAGGCAAAAAAGGTGAAGGTACCTTTTCTGATGTACTCAAGTGCCAAAATACCAAAGATGGGACGTATGTTGCGTGTAAAAAGATGAAGCAGACATATGAAAGGTACGTAATTACATTTACCACTGTTCACATCAGCAGGAGGACTTTCAACATGTAATGGGGGCGGTCCGGTAGCCTAGTGGTTAAAGCATTCGCTCGTCACGCCGAAGACCCGGGTTTGAATCCTGACATGGGTACAATGTGTGAAGCCCATTTCTGGTGTCCCCCGCCGTGATATTGCTGGAATATTGCTAAAAGCGGTGTAAAACCATACTCACTCACTCAACATGTAATGTTTATTTAAGTTGTTTTTCTCGATTTTACCTGGCTTAATTCACATGAAAGTGGCTTTAAGTACTGAGGCGACCCGGCTTTTCAAATGTCATTAACATTACATTGATTTAAGAATAAGACCAAGCACTACTGAGTACTTGATGCATACGACTAAACTATCGATTTCTCCAGTCTTGAACGTGTTGAAGAGCCAATTCATTAGTGTTGGCCTCTCCTGGTAGAGGTATGTTGTTTGTACTTGTTTGTAGTTCATACTTTGGTACTTCAGTTGCTCTGTCAAAGAACCTTCTAGGAGATATTTGCTGCAAATTAGATTACATCACAATGCTTTGCAGACCATTGTGACATCATGGGTTACCATAACATCACAGTCAAATGACATCACTTATCTCCCTGCCACTTAAGCCTGTCAGCTGTTCTTTTTGCACACAAAAACACTGCTTTTTACTGATTAGGAACTAAACAGTTGGAAGGATGATAAATAGCAGCCTCAGAGTTATAAACTTTCATCGACCCGTGTTGATATATTTTATATCAAAGGATACTCAGTTAAGATGCTCTATATGTTGAATATTTCCATATAATTGAATATCAAACCTCCATCTTGTACAAAATATCAAGGATAAATGTGATGATATTCATCGTAGTGAGTCTCAATGTAAAATGATATACCTTGATTTTATCTTGAAAACTGTGCAATGATACCACAAAAACATACATAGATATTGATCAGGCATGATGAGGGTGACCTGTCACTCAAGCCATTACTCTGGCACATTATACAATGCCTAATCCCATACAGCACATTATCGGCCAGGATAAACATTAGTTATGGCATATCTATTACAGTATTCAATTTAGTTTGTTTGTCCTCCGAGATAATACAAACCTCTTCTTCATATATAATGATCTAAACCCCAAAGTGTTATGAACCCATAATTAACTATTGAGATAATCTGTGGCACTAAATCTATGATCTTCCTACGAGGGAATATCGTCTTACTAGCATGTACCAAGCACCTGCTACTATAGTGCTCCTGATCAGGTTCATTGTCACACATTGTAATCTTGGTAACCTAATTTCCCCTCTTGACATGTAGTCTTTCATTACTCCAGATCTGAAATGGTTGCGACAGTATTACCCCTACACAATCAACTTATATGGCCAACGTACAACAAGCCTTTCAGCTAGTTGAATTAGGGTCAGACTTCGTTCATAACTTGTTTGAAAAGGACTTTCCGTTTGGACTGTCTTGATAAGCAAGTGCTGTAAATCGAAGCCCAGTTTGAATCGGCCCCAGAGCTTTCTGGTGTATACAGTGGGTCATGTGTGACACTGGCAGTGTGTCATGTGGTGTAAGTTCTTGTACACATTATGCCATGACTTCTATCGTGTATTCATGCAAGAATTGTATGTGTATCCTGCGTGTCATAAGACAAATTTTGCGGGGTGAAATCACTACTAAATTGTACCAAAAAGTTAGTTATTTAGTCAAAGGATAAACCTATCTTTTTTAAGATTAATATGAGAATGTTGACTCACTGTAAGTAAGTTTTGCTCAACCAGTGAAAATATATAACAAGATACTTTTGTTTGAGCCATGTCTGTATTTATTTTTATTTATTTTGTTCCTGAATTCAAACTGTCAATGCGAGAGAATAACCTGTCTTGAATATATGCGGAAACAGTGATGACAACAGGTGTTCGTGAAAAGTGTAAGCGCATCCCTTAGCGCCTACCCATTCTCATTAAAATCAGACCTTAGTTCTCGCTACCGCTAAACAAAGATCTGAAGACATCCCATTAGGGGTCACATCAGAACGACCTTTCATCTGACCAATCAGAGCGTCGCTTACCAGATTATGAAAGTGACAGTCGGAATGTGATTTCTAATCATACAACCTCGAAGACTTTAACACAGGGTATTCTGAACGATGGTTATGGGTTTAACGACTGAATCCTTACAATCTAGACCATCTATTAGCCATTGCAGAATGTTCTTTTGTTCAGGTTTCAAATTTGTAATTGATAATTTGTCAAAATATGTTGTGAAGTGTAGTCACCAATTTGAAATTTGTGCCGTAAAGCATAAGAAAGCTGCCTTCTGACTGGTCATTCCATTGGTCGGTCAAAGTTCGCGCGAGGTCAGTCTGACGTGACCCGTAATGGGATGTCCTCAGATCTTTGTTTAGTGGTAGCGAGAACTAAGATCTGATTTTAATGAGATTGAGCACCTACCACTCATACAGTGATAATTGAAAAAGTAATTGGCAGCTGGTAAGACAGTGTGAAAACTCCATATTAAGGTCATTGTCTGGAACAGCATAGTGCATGTTGACAAGCGATTTGTCATTTAGTCATTTTTTCAGACTGTTTACCATAAATTGTCTGTTAAAGGCTGAACGAGTTAAAGGTCATCATCAAGTCATACCTAAAGGCTGGAAGACCTACAGTAACATGTGACCTAAATATGTCACATGTTATGAATGTTATGGAAGAGTCTGTGCACATGTTTCTACTCACTGCTACGAATTCCGATTTTTAGGTGAATTCATACAAGTTGTTCTTCAGATGATTTTGAGTTGAGTACTTTTGACAGGAAGTCTTAACTTTTTCTCTCAGTAATAGTTTTTGGTGGTACAAAATACAAAGTAGGATGCCTTGTGCTTATTCATGATGGGAGTTTCCTTGTTAGAATCAAAACTAAGTGGTTGAGTGAAGAACGTCTGACATGGACTGTACCTGTTTCAATTTAATGAGTTTCAATCATTCCAAAATCCATATTATTTTGTGTCTAATTGGACTCATACTAATTTGTGACCTGTTAAGATCCGGGATAGAATAGGTCTTCAGCAACCCATGCTTGCCGTAAAAGGGATCGGGTGGACAAGCTCGCTGACTTGGTTGATGCATGTCATCGATCACAATTACGTGTATTGATACTCATGATATCAATCACTGGATTGTCTGGTCCAGATTTGATTATTTACAGACCGCCTTCATATAGCTGAAATATTGCTGAGTGCGGCGTAAAACAACGAAACAACAACAACAACAACATACTATGTAATAGGATACAAATAATTTCAATCACTGGTTTGTGTGGTCCAGATTCAATTATTTACAGGCCACTGTAATAAAACTGGAGTGCTGTGACTATGATGTTAGACAACAAACAAACAACACTGTAAACATAATTGTCTGAGAGGAATTTTGTATTATATTTGTACATATTTGAGTGATCTCTAAAAACAGAGTTCCCAGACCAATTATGACTGTTACAGACGGGACGTGAAGCATGAATGTTTGGTAAGATACAGTGCAGGAGTTACTGAGTGCCAATAATGTGTTATTTGGCAACTAAAGAAGGGGTAGACCCATGCTTGCTGTAAAAGGCGATTATGCTTCTCGTCATAGGCGACTAATGGGATCGGGTGGTCAGGCTCGCTGACTTGGTTGATGCATGTCATCGTATCACAATTGCGTGGATTGATGCTCATGATGACAACCACTGGACTGTCTGGTCCAGACTCGATTATTTACAGACCACCATCATATAGCTAGAATATTGCTGTGTGCGGCGTTAAACAACAAACAAACAAACACTGTTTCTTTCAGTGAATAATCCTATTAAATCATTGCATGATGTGAATGTATAGAGAGATAATATGTGTTGCTTATTGATTGATATGTGTGGTAGCCTGGCTCGTAGACTTATTCTCCATGCAGAGCAAGGGCACGGTTCACCCAGTCTTCTATGGTGCCGCAATTCTCAGTGCAGAGTTGCATGTTTTAGGCAGACCAGAAACCTATGATCAAGATTTGAATCCCAGATTCACCCTGATCAATGTTTCTAGGTATGTCAGCACCATACAAACCTAGTGGTTAAAGCGTTGGCTCGTCACGCCAAAGACCTGGGTTTGATTCCCCACATGGGTACAATGTGTGAAGCCCATTTTCCGGTGTCCCGCTGGAATATTGCTAAAAGCAATGAGTATGGAGTGAGTATGGTTTTTACGCTGCTTTTAGCAATATTCCAGCAATATCACGGCGGGGGACACCAGAAATGGGCTTCACACATTGTACCGATGTCGGGAATCGAACTCGGGTCTTTGGCGTGACGAGCGAACGCTTTAACCACTAGGCTACCCGACCGCCCCCTGTCCAATTGGAATTAATTGACAACAGTCTTACCATGTTTACATGTTGGCAGTGCTTGATTCAGTGAGAATGTGTTGAGAGTTTGTTTTTATTTGTAATGTAAACAGATCCTGTCATCAGCTCATTGATTCCATGTCCCAGATGATCAAGATGGCTTTTTATCATGCAATGAAGGAATTAAACAACTCAAGCGTCAATATCTCCGCAACTGATCTGGGGAACAGGTCAAACCAGATCAGTACCTACACTACCAAAAAAACGTTTGGGATCACGATTCGTTCATATTACTATAGTTAATCTGTCATGCCGTGACTGGGTAGCTATAGTAATGTGAAAGAATTGGGTGATCCTTAACATGTTTTTAGTAGTATATGTAGGAGATGAGGTGCAGGGAGCTGAACAGCTCTGCCAACTCTTGCTCAGCTCTTGTTATGATATCACTGCAACTGTTGTTTTCATCTTGAGTGAGTGAGTGAGTTAAGTTTTATGCTGCATTTTGGACTATTCCTACATATCACAGCAACAGATGCCCAAAATGGGCTTCAGATTTGGGGAATGGACCCCAAACCTTCTGGGCATAGTGAATTACCCCAATGCACCTGTTCCC